TAATACCATATTTATGATTTCAAATATAGATTATATATATATGTATATGACAGTTATATAGGTTTTGTATTTTAAGGTTACTTTTAATTTTTGTGTGTTTTTTTGGATTGGAACTCCAAGTATTTGAACTTTTTTTTGAGAAAGTAAATATACACACATACATATAAAATTCAAGATACGAAAAGGAAAAGATGAACCTTCCAGAAACATTTTCATCTATTTGACATCATGGCAGAGAACAAAGATATATGTTTTATAGTAGGATTTATTGCTTGGTGTTATATTTGAAAAGCAATATACAGTAATATATTTTCTTGTTTGTCTGGATAACCACTAAATAAATCTTGTTAGCCAAAAAAGCATGCCCATACCCTTAGGGATTGGCTACTCTGGTGTTAAAACTGTACTGAAAATTAACCATAATGACAGGTCCTATATCTCAGTGGCACTTTAAAGCTGACATCCTGCTACATGGATACAAAAGATGATAATTTTAAAGGAAATTTTTGGGCCACTGATATGAATTGCCTTTAATAAGAGCTGGCATAGTATTGCCCATTGTCAAAGATGACCCAGGGGGAAGAGTTTATTAGTGCATTTCCTTCTAAACTGGAAGTGACAGGGCATGCTTGGGGCCCTTTTGTTGCTGTTTGTAACAAATGAAAATTTCACTGCAGAATTCTCATGCTGAAGAGTATTGATCTGTGTGTTCTCACAGCCAGAGGAGGAGAAAAAAAAAGATGAAACACAATTTACTTTGTCATGGCTTTAGTATTGCTTCCAGATCATTTTGAGTAACAATAAGGTCTTTGCTTTGTAAAAGCCAAACTTTACTGACAACATTGGTTATTAGAGAGCAGGGGATGAGGAACAGGAGTCATTGCCCGGTAACTCAGAATGTTGGATGCTACATATTCCACATCTATATAGACATGTGGCACCATCATATAGGCGTAGAGGCATCTGATACTTTCCTGATGAGCAGGTCTTTGTAATGAAGATTTCCAGTTATGTAATGTACATTATGTTGAAACACTGTTATTTCATTTTGAGCTTTAACAGAAGAATTCCTTTTAGTGGAGTTCTAAGCTCTATTACAAATGTAGTTACCTGGGAGGTATGGTATACATTTAAAGACTATGGGAGGGAAAACTCAATTACTCTGATTAGTTTTTTTCAAGAAAAATTGAACTAGGATAGGATTTGTAATTCAGTTAGGAGATTTTACCAAAAGTAGTTCCAGTCAATGATTTAAGTCATTTGAGTCAGTCTTTGCTTTCCTCAGAGTTGGTCTTCAGCTCCCAGCTCAGTGGCTGCATTGTATCGACTTTTTTACATGGTTTCTATGGCATTGCTATCATTCTTGAATATGTGTAGAAGGTGCTTTCTCTTTCTTCTCCTATTTACAGGAAGTTTGGTGCTGTTGTTACTGTTCATTGACTTACCCTCCTGAATAGGTCCATCTGATTAATCATCTATTTATATTTTCCCTTGATGGCTGGTAAATTGGCAGTTTCTGGGAAGGGAGTTTCTTGAAGTCTTCAGGGTTGTTTGCAGTGGGTCTTGAGGGAGATGTTGGGTGGGAGGAACAGTATCTGTGATAGGTAAGTAAAAGTGAACAAGATGACATTGATCATTTCTTTCTTTTTACTTATTTATTACTTGCTTTGGAGAACAAGAATATCATGGTTTCAAACTCTTTCTGCTCGCTTTGCTACTTAACATGGAATTGTAGATATTAAGTGCCCAAAGAGATCACCTATGCCCCAGCTTATGTGTATACTTGCTATATATAGAATTGTGTAGCCTTTCCAAGTTACAGTATCAAATGTACTGATCTTCGATTAGTAAAGAACTTTTTTCTGTAATCAGTTCTTGTACTGTGTCATTGTTCAGAGCTCTTAAAACAGTACTGGAATATTTCTCTGAAGTTGGCAGTATTTGCCAGTAAAGTTATCTTGTGCATGAAGGAATGAGGTAGTGTCCATCACAGCAGCTGTGATCAGCTTCTTAGTTGACGTGGCATGTTAAAAGTGGCTGTCAGGTGGAGATGAAGCTGATGTTGCATTCTTTATGGTTAGGTAGCACAACTTTGTAAAATAGTCCAAATTCAGTTTGTCCCAATTTGGAATGTCTTCCTCTCAGGCAGTCCTGCGGAAACCATTAATAAAATCACCATTTTCTTTGGCTGCAGTGAACGTGGAAGATGTAGGTGATAAGTCTTTTTTGGGTTTTTTTTTGTTATTTTCATGGAATAGTAGTTTGTTGCTCCGATTGTCAAAAAAAAATGATAAAAAGAGCAAACAGTTTTCTTAAACGGTATGATAATGACTTGCAGTTTATATGAAGTTTGTATGCTTCCCCAAGTTTGTTTTCCTTTAAAGTAGCTACATGTTGTTAGCAAACTATTTGTACAAAACCTGATATTATGCTATTAAATGCGGCAAAATCAGTAGAAAGTACAGGACATTTTGGTTTATGTAGTGGATCATACACAAATGATTTGAAAGAAAGTGTAGGTTAGTGTTAATGGCAAGGAAGAAAGCAAGGAAAAAACTCAATGTATGAATCAAATGTAATGTTTGTTAATAATCTGTGAATAGTTCTGCCATATCTCTGGTTCTACTGATAAGTTTTTAAGTTTTACCTAAGTCATAAATGGTAATAATTTTTTTTATGCTTTTACTAGGTGATTCTGGGAGGGGGTTAATTTTTTTATTTTTATTTTTTAACATTTCTTTATCCAACCCAAAGAGCTCTTCTGCACCGGAGTCAAAACAAGAGGAGGTCTACACCTTGATTTATACTTCTAATTTGGAGTTGTCTTCATGTGACTGGTAAATCCAAGTTAGTGACAGAAAAGAAGTTTTTCTCTACTGTCTTTTGACTGTTCTTTCAGAAATCATAAGTTCTGATGAACTGACCAGTTTATATGAGTCTATGAATATGATTGTTTCTTCTGTTTGCTTTGACATGGCAAACAGTCTCTCCTCTAAGTCATGAGGTTCAAGTTTTCGTCAAGTTTGTGACTATATTCTTCTTTCTTTGCCTTACTGGACTTAGTTTGCCATCAGCAGCAGTTCTTGTTATGCAAGTCTGACAGTGATTTTTCTGCCTTTCTTCTCTGAAATTCCTAAAGGGATTTTTCTATAGGAAATCCAGTAATTTTGGATAGTTCCTGGTGCTGCTAGAACACTAAAAAGATGAAGTTTGCCCCTGGCAAGTACTTCTCATGGGAGCATTATTTTTTTCTTTTACGTTTGAGAAAGCTGTGGACTGAAATTCACTTTGCAAATTTCACTATTACTAATTTTCCCTGGAAAAACTAAATGAAATCTTTAGACTTGCTCCAGATGTGTGTTCTCGATTTTGTGACCTGGTTTATTTGTTCAGGATACTAAGAGACTTAAGGATATGCCAAGGAGAGAGCACTAGGTGGCAAATAAAAAAATCAAACCCATCAGGTAGCTTGAGTATATGCTTCCTGCTTGCAAATAGATTTAAGTCTTTTGTAC